TCTGAGACTTTTGGGTTGCACCACTTTCCCTCAGGTGAGCTCACACAGTAACCCTGTGTTTGTTTGAATGTAATGTACGTTATTGACATTAATGTCCAGGGGTGTAGTGCAGGGTATTTCCTAGGATGGTGAAGGGACCTTTCTTACTTACTTTGATACTACACACTGAATATGCAAGAGTAGTCATACATGCCACTGTTTACATCAGAGGCCGTTTATCGTCTGCTGGCAGGCCACTTAAAAAAAAAAGAACATTTGGTACAGTATTTAGACACCACTACACCACTGTACATGTCTTAACACGATGCATTGATGCTTTTCTGTTTATCCAGAAAATCTGCACGTCACTGGTACAAGCAGGAAATCTGACATGCACAGAGATGAATCCTCCAGGAAAGTGTCCAACTCAGAAACCACAGCAGAGCCACAGACGATCCCCAGGTTTCTGTCTCAGAGTACAGCTCCTCACGGTGCCGGCAGAAGTAAGTAATAGTGTGGTGGAGTGACGAAAAAGTGGATTTAAAGAGGTCAAAATGCTCCCAGCAACATTTGGAGTATGCAGGCCAACTTTATTAACTTCATTAGACTGACACATTGGGCTTGTGGCCTTCATCAGGGTCATGTTTTAAAAGTGAATTTACTCTCATGTTAAGAGTTTTTGTTCCTGTTTTAAAGTTGTCAGGTGACTTTTGTATTTAATTTTTATGTCATAAAACTATCAGAATGTGTAGTTGAATTAATAATTTTGTAAATGCTTTTCTTCGATTGAAGCCCATCTCTGCTTATTACTACTTTTTTATATTCACTTTAATCCACTGACAAATATAAGATTGCCTGTTGGTTCAGAAATCTTCATAATAAATCTTTCTAGTGTAAATTTACAACTTCATAGTCGTTCCTGTCTTAGTCGTGTACAAGTTTTGTTTGAAAATAAATGAAAAGCCTGTCTCGTTTTGACGCCTGTTCCAAATGAATAAGGGTCATTTTGCGCCCTTAATAGGAGTTTTACGGTAAGACAGCTGTGATTGGCAGCTTAGTTATTAATCGTAATTTGTCAACGAGGTCTGGAAATGCCAAAAATATCAAGATGGCATTTTCATCATGGCTCTTTGATAATATCTAGTTTCATTTGATGTGTAGATTCATGTTCTGCATGTGTGTAAAGGAGTCTTGGAGGCAGAGAAGAAGAAGAAAAAAGATAATTGAAATGATTTAGTCCCATGTTTAGGTGTGCTGTCTCCGATCGAACCAGAGATTAGACTGGCAACGTGTGACGTATATTTTGTTTAAAGGTTTGTGTGTTGGAAACCACTTGTAAATAAAAATGATGTTTGTTTGTTTGTTTCTCAGCATTCCTGAAAACAGATGCTACAAATGGAAACACTAATCTGGATAAGAAAGGTGCTGGCAGGAAAAAGGCTAAAGTTGCAGATCCTACAAAGTGGAAGCAAAACAAACAGAAGCAGCTGAGGATGGAGGGCAAAATGTACGCCAGCAAACGCAAGAAAGACGGCGAGATCGTCACAAAGCAGCCGAGAACAGTGGGACCCAGGTGCACCTCCAGCGTGTGCAAAAAGGCTTTTAACCGCCTTTGTGATGAAATCGACGAAGATGTCAGGAAAAAACTCTTCGATGAATTCTGGCACGGTATGAACTGGCCTCAGAGGAAACTGTACGTTTCAGGACAAGTTGATTGCGACCCTGTGGAAAGATCTCGAGCTGTGGGACCCCGGTCCAGGCGGTCGGTTTCACTGCGTTATCACCTGCTGGTGGACGGCAAAAGGAAACAAGTGTGTAAGAACATGTTCCTATCCACTCTGGGGATCAGAGAGTGGTCCGTGCTCAACTGGGCACAGAAAGGAGCAACAAAGAAGAACAAACTGAACGCTGTGAGCCAGTGTCCACAACAGAGCCCTACGTCCTCTCCAGTGTGCTATACAGTCCAAGTGACACTGGGTGAGAAGTCTTTTTCAGCTACTTACTAAACAGCTAAGGCAAGTTTATTTATATAGCACATTTCAACAAGGCAATTCAAAGTGCCTCACACTACATCAAAAGCATCATGACAGAGGGAAAAAAATAAATCTTGAAATAGAAAATAAAAAAATCTCTTTAACAAACAATTCACAATCACAGAGAAGAACTATTCGGACATTCCTTGGCATTTTTAACTACCGGTACCTCCTTCATATCCCAGATTTGAAGGACTCACATGAGATTTTCCCTGAATCCTGAAAATGTCTTGACAGGATGCATATTTTTCCAGTTGTATGAAAAACCTCCAACTGTTGGATAATTATAACAACAGTTATCACAGTAAATGCCAAGTTCAGTCACAAATGTACTTTTAAAAAAATAAATAAATAAAGTGTGACTTAACCATTCAGACATTTATTGGCCTTTTTACTACCTTCAGATTCCAGATTTGAAGGAGTTAAGGGCTCAAATATACTTGCTTTTGAACCACGCGTGTGAGTAAACAACCTGCCGCGTCGTGTTTGTAAACTTTCACATACTTGCGTTTCCACAGCGCTGTGTTACTGGAGGATTCCTCTAGAGGGAGCACCACATAAACACAGAAGTAGACACAATCTTTCACCAGCTATTTTGGCACACATTTTTGGATGGCAAAGTCGTTTTTTTAAGACATTTGTCAAGTTCTAGGTCCTAAATGGAAGGACTTTCAGATTTTATTTGTCGATTATGATAATGAGTGTAAGCCTTTAGGTCGGTAGGACAAAATAAACTATTTGAAGACACGGCTTTGGGCCCCGGGAATTTTCTGCGGAGTATTTTCTTTTTTAATTGCACGGTATTTTCTAAACTAGACGAGAAATTGTTTTTAAAAAAGAAGCAGAAAAATTCCAAATGCGTGTTAGTTTAATTGCACAGGTTTCATTTTAACTCATGTAGGGGCTTACTTAAATTTTTGTTTAGGGTTAATATATATGTATGGGGGGGGGGTAGGACAGCAGTTGTTTGTTTATTTGGATCAAATGTCGTGCATGTCTTTTGTAAACTGCTACTCGATGCTTTGAATTTCCCTCGGGATCAATAGAGTATCTCTCTATATATCTTAGTTTCAGCCTTGAAGTTGATCAAACATGTCTCTTTTTATTGCAGAACCGGCGAGTCCCACTGAACCAGAGGGCCCGGCAAGAAAGAAATCGAGGGTCGCCAAGCCGCTTACATGGAAACAAAACCGACAGAAGCAGCTCAGGATGGAGGGAAAATCGTACATCAGCAAACGAAAGAAAGACGGCGAGACTGTCACTAAAGCTCAGAGGACAATCGGAGCGAGATGCACCTCCGGCGCCTGCAGGAGGGCATCGAACCGCTTCTGTGCGGACTTCAGTGAAGAAGCCAGGGACGTGTTGTTCACCCGTTTCTGGCAGTGTATGAACTGGGCTCAGAGAAAGATCTACGTGTCCGGGTTAGTCGACTGTGACCCAGTGGAACGGACGCGAGCTCCTTTGACCAAATCCAGAAGATCAGTTTCAATGCGGTATCACTTGATGGTCGACGGTGACAGAAGACAAGTCTGCAAAAAGATGTTCCTCGCCACTCTGGGGATTGGAGAGTGGTCGGTGCTTAACTGGGCGCAAAATTCATCCGAGCCGGACAATCTAGATGAAAACACCAAGAAGCAAACACAGAGGACGTCCCGGAAAGCTTCAGAGCATCGTTTTCTCAACCAGTTCTTGGAGAGTTTGCCGAAAGCGCCCTCGTACTGCTGCGGGGCGTCCGCCTCCAAGCTGTACCTGGAGCCGGTCTTCTCAAACATGTCCGAGGTCTACAGGCACTACTACAACCACTGCATGGAGGAAAAGACGACGCCACTCTCTCGTCAGGTTTTCTGTTCTGTGTTTAAAAAGATGGACTTAGGATTGTGTGACCCCAAAAAGTATCAGGGGTGTACTTTCAGTGTCGCTGGGGATTTATTTAATGAGCCCTGGGAGGAGTTCTGCATGGAACGAGGAGCTCCAAATCCACAGCTGGAGAAAGAGAGTGGATTTAAGGACAACAGAGCTCTATGTTGAAGTAAACTGCTGAGTATTATTCTTCTCTTCACAACATGATCGACTTTGACTTTGCCAAAAATGACCGATTTCACATTTCATTCAAATCCTGGCATGCACAAACTGGTCGCTTCTTCCAGGCGCAGGCTAGCTGAAGCACATTAAAGTGCTGTTGTGTCACTTAAGAGGAACGTTTTAAGCTCTACAGTAATTATTTTTTGTTGTTGAAATTGTTGTTATAGGTTATAATGCTCCTTAAAAAAAATGTTCCCTCAAGAGTCTTCTCAACCCTCATTTCAACTTCAAGAGTGAAATAAAATGTGTTGTTACATGCAAAGAAAAGTGTGATTTTGAAGGGAATATCAGAGGAGCAGCCAGCCACCTGCACCAACATGAAGAAACGCAGAGCTTCTTGTGAAGTACCACTTTACTTTAGGTTTCATAAAAGCCTGAACTCTGATAAGAGTGTTGAAGAAAATTAGTCTTTTCTGAGGTAGGGGGGCTTGTAAAATCATAACTTTATTCCCAAAGTCTGAGCTTATTTTTTCTCCAGTGTGGCCCTAAAATGTGTGGAAAACTTGATCTTAATGATTTTTGTTGTGATTGAGACAGAACCATTTGTGCCCTCAGTGTACTGTTCCCTTTGTGAGTCGTCTACATTGGACTGGCAGTCTCTTTTTTGACTCAGCTGCTGGACCAAACCGTTATTTGTGTGTGTGTGTGTGTGTGTACTCCTACACTTCCTTGTAAAGGTCAAATTCAAACCATGCTGTACCGTCACACCTCGCAGTGTGCTAGTGTGTTGAAATAAGGGCTGCTCTAAACGCTAATTTTTTTTTTTTTCGAGTGGAGCCACAGAAAGAGTTGCAAATACACACACACACATGCACACACAGTCGTCACCCTCCTATTCTTCTCCACACAGTGGCAGGAAGTTGTCCAGATATCCGCAGGGCCTCTGAAAAAAAAAAAGAAAAAAGAGCGAGTAGACAAAGTGGGCTGGGTGGTGGTACTGGAAGGTGTCGGTGGGATTGGTGATGGAAATGTGCGACATGCTCAGAGTTTAACTTCTTGCTGTGAACAGCAGGAGTGAAAGGACACCACAGAGAAACACATTCACACCAGTGGGAGAAAGGCTGTGAGTCACGTCTTGAGATCAGAGGGAGGTTTACCCAACAGCTGGACCGCGCGGACAGCAGTGGAGAAAAGGCAAACAGCTGCGGAACCTGAGGAAGGAGAAGATGTTGGGTCTGAGGGCGTTTGTTCTGCTCGGGCTGAGCTGGACATGTCATGGTGAGGACGCGTTCTCATTCTTAACACATTTGTCTTTTTTTCTATACGAACGTTGAACTCATCATCCGTGTAGATTTAAGTAAATGTGTGGTTAAACTGTCCTGTGGGCCAAGGAAGAGGATCGAAATTTCATGAAAACGTGGCTTCCATTGTCTGAGTATCACTTTTAAAAAAAAAAAAATTGGGGGGGCTTTTTGTGCCTTTATTGTAGAGATAGAAAAGTGGATAATTGAAAATCGGGGGTTGAGACGGGGGACGCCATGCAAGGAAGGGGCCACAGGTCAGATTTGAACCTGGGCCTCTGCTTTGAGGAACACAGCCTCCATACATGGGGCACACTGCACTAAAAACTGCATATCATTATTATTATTGAGTGGTTTTCAGTAGTACCTGACATGTCTAGACAGAGGGAATTTAAAGCTCCTGTGAGGGTTTTTAGCGAGTAACAAAACAAGACAGAAATCACCACAGCTATCTCTGTACGACCTACGAAAGCAACAGAGACCATCAGATAGACGATTAATGATTCCTTTATATTAATTTTATATGCCTGTCACTCCTGCTGCGGTTTAGGTGACAGATGAGGAGCTTCATTTTGAGTTGCATGTTAGTCATTTAAAATCAGTGTCAGAAAACTAGCAAAGAGAAAAATCATCCCGCTTTGTCCACAGGGGGGCGCCAAAATCAAAACAATATGAATACTACTTACAGGAGCTTTAAAGTAAACGTCTCAGCCAGATTCACTATTTTGAAATATATATGAAAAGACGTGTTTTTGGGCAATATAGAACTTAATTCAACTCTTAAAGAAACAGGTTAATAATATTTTCAATTTCTTATTATTATGTAATTATTACATTTTAAATATCAAATAAAAACCCATGCAAAGGAAAATAATATTGAGACAAGGGAGACATTGAGAAGAAATTCAGTTACCTGAAATTGAAATGTGATGATTTGATTATGCTGATAAACTCACTAGGAAAAGGTTAGTGATGAAATAATTCAAGTGAGGCGTATAGGAGTTTATCTACGCGATGGCCGACATCGTTGTGAGCTCTACAAACACATGCGTTGGTGTTTCTGCGTAGCTCTCCAATACTCCGCCTATAAAACGCTAGTTGGCAGTGTGATTTTGATGCTAGTTATATCGCCAGTTTCTGGTGTAGTGTAAATCAGGGTACTGCTGTTTGTTACCAGTGCTGCCCCCTGCTGGACACAAATTTAAGGTACCGGTAATTCTGCTGCCAAGATTACAGGCAACAAATAATATTCTGTTTTGATGGGGTCTGTTTAAGTAATTTTCCCTTATGTTTAACTTTAAGGTTGAGTAGTAGTATCGGCGTTGTCAGAAGCTGGAGCTTGAATAAAGAGAGCCTGTGTCTGTGTCTGAACTGCCAATACTACTGTCAATGAGGCCATTACTGTTGTACTTCTCTTACTCTAAACTTATCATGCTTCTAGCTATCTTTTCTTTAGGCACGGTGTCTTCTAAGTAAACCCTCTTCAACTTAACACTGTATCATTCACATTATGTTTTTAGTAAGGCCGACCGATACAGGATTTTTGGGGCTGATACCGATAACTGGGAGAGAAACAAATCCGACACCAGTAATATCTGCCAATATCGTTTTGATCCCTTAAATGTTGTTATCAAACACTTGTGGAAAAGATTTATAATTAAGTCAAGATGTTTTTGTTTTTTTACAGTCTTTTTAAAGTCTGTATTTTCAGTATGAAACACAAATCAACAATTATAAATCAAAGTTATTAAAAAAAGTAATTATAAACTTAAATTGAATGAACTTAGTTATATCGGCACATATCAGTGATAAATTTAGCCGATACCGATAGTCAAGGGATGTGCCGATATCGGCCTTTATTATCGGCCTTGCTGATTAATCGGTAGTTTTTTTGTATTACACTTACATTTGATGCTCATTTGTGTTGCTCTTTTTGCACTGTAATGATGGAGCAACCTGACACCAGAATTTATTTTGGGAGAGAAAATATAACAACTATAATCTTTATTTTTACTGCAGAGGGGGAGGCCTCTTTTTGCTGGCCAAATGAAACCAAAGTGTTAAAAAAACTAGACATCTCTAATTTCAGCTCTATTGTTCGTGTTTTTTTTTTCTACTATGACTTTATGATCCTGCACACACCTGCCAAGCCCATTGTCCGACTCCATCACATTCCTCATTGCCACGGTGACAACCTTCGACCTTTATCAAGGCACAGCCCACTCCATTTCCTGCAGCTATTCGTTTCTCCTGGAAACTTCCTGTTTATGTCGGGGCCATTTCCTGTTTCCTTTAACGGTCCGCATCAGGAGCCGCCTTTCATGGCTTGACCTGCATTGTTATGAAAAGTTGCTAATGCACTGAAACAATGAGCGCTTTCAATATGTGGTTGACACGACCAATGCGATAAAACACTTAGTGAGAGCAGTAAGCATGGAGAAATGAAACTGCACACAAAGTTACATTTGATATGCTTCAATTAAGATTAAGAGCAAAGCATGCATAAGTGATGTGGAAGTGATATTGATTGTCTCTGACACATCTTAGTGCTGATAAATCCTGCAGTTTACACGGGTAAGACATACTGTGCGTGTAATTGTGTCACTCATGGAGACATTTATAAAAACATACCGTAAAATATCAGACACCGTACAAGAAGTCCATTTCAGCCACAGAACTGCCAAACCATGATTGCAATTTATGTGCAACTATTGACAACCTAACTTGTGTGTGTCTCCGCAGCGGCGTCTGTCGACCCGTGGGGCCAGTGTCCAGTCAACAGAAAGTGCAAGGACAAGTTCGGCGACGGTACATGTGACAAAGAGTGTGTGGAGCCCGATTGTCTGAGAGACGGCTTCGACTGCCTTAAGGAGAAGAGCCCCTGCAAGTAAAAGACTTTGGTTGTCATTTTCAGCACCATTAATCCGAGCATTTCAAGTTTTCCTTTACTGGTTTACAACAGTTATGATTGTCCTTATTTACTGTTGCACGTTTTAAATATTATTTTTAACCTGTTTTCCTTGTTTGCGTCCATATTTTATCACTATTTCCATTCATTAGGTTTTAAAATGTTGTTTTATGCTGAATAGACTCAGGAAATCGATCAGAGGCAACCTACGAAAGAAGTGCTATCAGGACAATTACGACTAGTTTTGTCTGTTTGTAATTTGTTTTTAATTGTCATTAATCAATAAAGGAAAATTATAGAAAAGAAAAATCCTTATTCTTTTGTTTTAGGTACCTAGGTTCAGGCCAAACATGAATTTAATATTAGACCTATCCTCATTGTTGATTTCAGTGCATAAAAAAGATTCTTTGAAATGTCTATTCTGCTCTTTTGAAAAGTATTTTGACAACCCAGAAAAACATCTTAAGGTTGTGGGTGATAAAAGATGTACTATTTCACTCAGTTTTTTCTTTCATGTGTTTTCACAGTCCAAGCCACATCCTGTACTGCCGCGACCACTACGCCAACTCCCACTGTGAGCAGGGATGCGACAGCGCCCCCTGTGGATGGGACGGCAGCGACTGCTTCACACACCAGAGCCCCCTTTGGGCAAAAGGCACCCTGATCCTTCACGTCAACGTCCCACAACAGAGGGGCCAATTCACCAACAGCTCCCTGCTTTGGGCGCTCAGTGTCCTCCTCAAGTCGCCACTCAAGCTGAGAGGCTCCGCCCCCCTAGCGCCTAACAGGAACTTGTTTGACTTTGATGCTCAGCAACTCGCCACCCTGCTGGCTCAGGCATCACCGACTGACTCAGATGGGTAGGTGCTGAGGGAAATATCAAACTGTGTGAGTACAGGCTGGAAGCTGTTTATTCAACTCCTCTTATAGGAGCTTAAATCCTTTTTGTGAGGCAGAGATAGTCGAGCAGCAGTACAATGAAGATAAAACAATACTCAGGTGAGATGAAGATGAAATACTTTTTACAATAAAAAGCATGTAATTCAACTCTAGCATTAGGAAACAACCTTATAGTCTTCCTGCGTTAAACAAAAGCGTGCGTTCATTTAAAATTGTAAAATATTAAAGACAGTCCAACATGTTCAAAGATTCACAGCTATTCCAATTGTATCGTTTGCATTAAATGTGTATTTTTGTGTTTTCACATGCTCAAAACTCCTGAACTTTTCCTGCAATATTTGGGATGAGCTGCATGTGTGAAAAAAAACAGCTTAATTTTTTCACTCCAGGAAATAGTCAGGAAAATTCACAGCGATCGAGCGTGGTGTGACAGGTGCATGACCGATGTCATTTTTGTGCATGTAATAAAGCTGCTCAATACCTTTTTCTGCTCTGTTCCACTATATTGTTGATACTTTGAACATATCCAGTTACACATAGAATGCTATGTTGGACTGTGTCACCTCATCTGTGATGTTCGATTTCCACAGCGTCCTTTTTACATCATGTCCAGCTTTCTGTGACCCCGACAGGGAAAAGTTCAGGCTGTGATGGACATAAGTGAATAAGTAACCCTGTAAGAATTCAGGGGTAACAAGTGAATTAATATTTTGTTTTTTTATTTCAAGATACATTTAAAGTGGGCCAAGAAAAGAACCCTGGGGGACTCCATTAAGTACATGTAGGCAGTCTTATCTGAGCAAAATATTTAACAGGGATATTGATATAAAAATGTATCTATCTAATCTATGTGTTCACTTTTGCATTACGTTATGGCAGTTTTCTAAATTTTGTTTTGTTTAATGAGAGGGTGTTACTCTTTGCAAATCATTGAGAAGGTTCCAGACATCATTACGTTAAGTTTTCCTGACACACCTACACTTTTAAAAAGGCCTCAGTTATGACGTACATGCTCTCTCCCTCACTGTTTCCTTCCCTCTCTTTCACTTTGCCAGCTCCCTCCTTTTCCTCCAGGTGGACAACAGGCCGTGCTCCCGTCTGCCCTCTACCTGTTTCCCCTATGCCATCGAGGCGGCCAGTTTCCTGCGTGCCGTATTGCTGCTGAGGCCTACCACGTTCAACACCCGGCCCGAGCTGAAGGCCATCTTTAGTATAAGAGGTGTGCGAGAGGAAATAGGAAGCAGGGAGGAGGATATTGTGATAAAGGAAGTCAAAGGTAGGCTCACATGTCCTTCCTCAAACACACACTCGTGCACAATCCAAACAAAACAAATAAAACACCTTTCCGCTTCCAGTGTGCAGATGTTTTGATGGTCATTTTGTAAAAGTTTAGAGTTGGAAGCATTCTAAAATGCCTCAGATATTGTTGTTAAGATTTCCCAAATAGATTTATATTTTCTCTCTTTATCATGCTGCCCTAATGTCTTTTTTTCCCCCCTCTCAAAGAGCCGACCCCATCGTGGCTCTGGGCGGTGATAGCCATTGCAATTGGCCTGCTCCTGGTTCTTGCCCTGGCCGTGTTCCTGGTGGTGAGGAGGGTCAGGCGGCAGCGGTCTGAGAGGGAAGACGGCCACAGGGTGAGACATATGTCCACGATCACAGACAATGACCCCAAATCCAAAGCTATGACTCCACACACAGCCCACCAAGAGCAGAGGGTAAGAGCGAGCAGGGAGAAAGAGAAGATCAGCTTGAGGAAAAAGAAGAAAGCAAAGGAAGCAGAGAAGAAGAGAAGGAGGGAACCGCTGGGGGAGGACGCCATTCGAATGCGGTAAGTGGGAGGAGTCGCTTCTTAGGTTTATGAGAGGATGTTTTGTCTGCTCGAGAGATGATGTCATGTAGTAAAATATGGTGTATATTTGAACAAGCAAAAGGTCATCCTGTAAAGTTAATGAAAAGGTTGGTCCCCCTTTCCTGTCAGTCAGTTGGAAATAACCTTTATCCTGTCGTTATTTTCAAAAACGTCTCTGCCTCAGATGACGTGTATTTAAATATGCTAATGCACAAATTAACTCTAATGTATGGAAGCCCTGAGCAGACATGCATCCATACATTTTATTCACTTTGTTTTTCAGTGATAACGTTTCATTTCTGATTGTTTTCTTCGATCTCGACTGATTAATCTCAAATCCCCAGAATTGCAAAAGCACAAAACAAACATATATATTATAATGATGGCTAAACTTACCTCATTAGTGTGGGCCTCTTTTCATTTTATTTTATGACTGCCAAAAAAACAGTTAACCAGCTTTATATCCCAAGATAACAAGAAAAATAGTCGAAATCTAGACAAAACACTTGAAATGAACTTGGTATCAGAGGAGATCCAGTGCTGTTATCTCAAGATAGCAAAATGAATATGTCGAGATCTCAAGAAAACAAATGGAAATGACTCGTTTTAGTGGGAAAATGGCCTTTCTTTCCAATTTTCTAACATTTGTTACTGAAGAATTTAAAAAGTACTAAAGTAACTAAATGATACTGTGATGAATAAGGTCAGTGTCAATATTTACTTTTTATTCTAAATTTAAAAAAAAATTTTTGCAATTCATGGCTTGAAAATTGATTAAAATTGTAACCGTTGCCCAACACTGGTGTTGTTTTAATTCATCATTATAGCTACAAAAGTCTGTGTTGAAATATGGTTGAAAGGATTTGTTTTACCCAAATGTTTTCAAATGTCAGCGCTCTCTTGTTTATGTAACACTGCCTCAAACGTCTATGCTGATAGAGAAGGGAAACACAAAATACAGTGACAGCACATGAAAACTATAACAGCTTCTTAGCGTGCCATAACAAAACCTCACTTTGGGTTTCAGGCCTCTCAAAAGAGACCAGGATATAGGAAGTGACACAGACTTCACCCAGAGTTCAATGGAAGACATCAATGCGAGATGCTCGCGGCGACAGGAGGACGCCGCCATCTGTGACCACCGGAGCTCTGAGCAGAAACACTACAGAGGAGGAAACTCACAGCCCCGCAGACCTGTTCAACGTAAGACTTAATACTCACACATTCATTACTGTAGTCACAATAAAACAAATGTGTTTGGCTTTGTCTTTGAAATACAGGGAAGGCTAAAATATTTATTAACAGTAAAGTATAGTAAATAGAGTGCTTCTTCCCATTTCCTGCATCTAGCATGCAGAGGGAGCCACGGCACGTACTCCGGTTTGATTAAAGAGCAAGTTAAAGACGTTTTGTTTTCATGTGTTTAAGTTCAATAAATGGATGTGATGCAGATGTTTTAAAATCAACGACTAATCGTGTTGAATCCATCACGATCTCAAAATCAAATCAAAAATAATCATGATATTAATTTTTACTAAAATCTGACAGCCGCACAAGAAATGTACAATGTTTGGTCAAATGTTAGAGATCCACCTTCAATCATTTCTGTTCTCCCACAGCTCCACCTAGAGGATGGGAGAGAAATGCCATGCCTCCTCCTCTTCTCAGTCCTCCTCAACAGGTCTGTCCTTTTTTATTCATGTTCAGAAGAGCCTGTTTAAATTTTGACTTTTACTCATTGAATCTGCATTTCAGTGTATTTCCTGTCCCTGAGTATTTTGTGTGTGACCTTACAGTTCTCCACATTCATTGATTTGACTGAGTTTTGTCCGTGCTTCTTGTCCTGATTTCTTGAGAGTTGGTTCTTTGAGTCACTTTAGTTTCATTGATAACTTTTCTGTCAGTGATTTCATGTTTTATAACATAACTTATATTCTTCATTCATAACTATTTTTAATGTTATAAAACTAAACATTAACTGTATTTTTTAGTGTTGTAGTAGGCTTCTTGAAATCAGTCTTAGTTTTTCAAGGTCTTGTTCTCACCTTGGAATCAGTCTTTGAATGACCTTTCCCGGTATAACAGTCTAAATGAGTGACCCCTGCACACTAGATGATGATTTTTAAGTGATATTTATGATCTCGGTCTCGCCCTGCCTTGGACTTGGTCTTCACTTGATCTCGACCCCTAAATTTCTTGGTCTCGGAGCGCTCTGGTCTCGAGTTCTTCTTGGTCTCAGTGACTTTGGTCTTGACTACAACACTAGTATGTTTATTTTATTGTATTCATTTATTTAACAGGGACATGTTCAATGAGCATTTCTTTATATTTAAAAAAAAAAAAGCCTAGCCGTGGACAATTTTCAACCCCTGTCCTTTGAAATATATGGGTAATATGTTTTTTTCTTTGCCTGTATTATTTATTTATATTGCTCATGTATTGGTTGTGTTTGCAGTCGGCAGAGTGGTGTGGCCCTGACGGCTCTGTGGTTCTGATCCGGGCGGTGCGTAGCGGACTGGACAGAGTGGTCCTGGAGCTGCTGCGAGCAGGAGTGCCTGTCAACAACACGGATCACACTGGTAACGCATCGAAGGACTCAACCCTCTCCCTGGTCATTGACATGTTGATAGTATTTAAATGTCCTTCTTAGGGCCTGTTTGAACTTTCTTAAAGTGACAGGATTGCCAGGAATGGTTAGTTTAGCTTTATGTCATTACAACACACAATGGAAAAAAAACAGCATCTATGGACTTGAGCTCGTACAGAACTTTTCTAGTCTTCTGACGACTCAAAACGCTTTTTACACCGCAGGTCACACCTACACATTCACACACTGATTGACTGATGACCATCAGAAATAACGAATCCAATTCATACACATTCATACGCTGCATGAGGCAACCTGGATAAAACTGTGATAAAGAATTGTGTGCAAATGCAAAAAACATCAATGACTAAAACTCATCTGAAGATGGATTTATTTTCCTTCTCAGGTTGTGTAATCTCTGAGTAGTTCTGCTTTGACCGGTTTATGCATAAAGTGCATGAAAAATATAGATTTTTTTAAACACTGTTTGACATAATTTTTGGATTATTCCTTTGTATTTCATAAGCTTTATGTCAAATCCATGATAGATAAAGGGGGTAGGTATAGGTGCAGGGCAGTGCACAATCAGCTGACTGAGGAAGAATATCGGCCCGCAAACTTGCTCAAATGCCACAAAAAGTTTTAATTCATCACAACGTCTCGACCAGAGGTCTTCTTCACCTGAACTCTGAGGGGTTGAGTAACTTACCCCTTCTCTTCCCTCCTCTCCTGCTCTATGTTCATCTCTATCTCTCCATGGCTTCCATCTCTCTCCTCCTCTTCCTCATCCTCCTCCTCCTCCTCCTACTCCTCCTTATCCTCCTCCTCCTCATCCTCCTCGTCCTCCTCCTCCTCCAGAACCCTTGCTGCCCTCTGACTCAGAACAAAGCTAATGTGTTCAAACTTGGGTTGATGAACTTTGCTGCTCACATTTCTTCTGGCTTCAGCTGTCTTTTTTTTCCTTTCTAACATCCCTCTCCCTTTCACATGTTTTCCCCCTGTCCTTCCTGCCTCTGTCGTCTTGTTGGCTGAAATAATTCATCTCCTCATTCTCCCTCTCTTCTCTACCTGGGCTCTTCTCTGTTGTGTAATGGTTGTTCATTGGCTGACTTACTCCCCTCCCTTCTTCCCCCTCACCTCCCCTCCACTCACACTGTCTCTCTCAGGGAGATCAGCCCTGCACTGGGCGAGCTCAGTAAACCACCTCTCCCTAACAAGGACCCTCATTCGCTATGGGGCCGCTGTGGACCTGCAAGACAACAAGGTAAGATGTGACGCTGCTTCTTTTGAGTCGGTTATCCTCCATAAATCACAAAATCTCATATGAATGATTCATCGTATCGCAGGGCGAGACGGCGCTCTTCCTCTCTGCCCTTCATGGTTGCTATGACACAGCCAGACTCCTCCTCCTTCACGGGGCCAACCTCGAGCTGCACGATCGTAGAGGACGTCGGCCAATCGACGTGGCCAGAGAAGGCATGCGCCACCAGGTCATGGAGCTCCTATTGGCTCACCAAATTCAGAGAGGGCCCGTCACTGTTGAAGCAGCCAATGAGATGCTGTGGGAGGAGCGCGCTATGATGTACTCGCCTTGGGACGGATCTCAGGGCCTGCCTGGAAGAAGTGCCTCCTTCTCCGGGATCATAGCCCATCGAGATATGACCCCGCCTCCGCAGAAGTAAGTGAATGACGCATGCACAGACAACAGTATGAGTCATCGAGTTTATGACTGGACATCAAGTGAGGAATAAACTGTTTTTGCATGTATAACCGTCTCTTATCAGTTTTAAGGAAAGAGGTGGTGTAAGAAGTTCTTGTCTTAGTTCTTTGTTTTTGTCTGTAAAAACAGATTTCAAAAATTGGCAGGAAACCAAGAATGTTCTTGTGTTTGTTTTTTAGAGTTTGTTGTTGTCATACTTATTTTGGCCACCAGAGGCTAAAGTGCACCACTTACTCGTGTCTTTGTTTTCCTTCAGGTGAGTTTTTTTGGCGAGCAACCATCGGCGTTAAAAAATCAACTTTTTGCAATCTGAAAATCTTTTATGGTCTTCTGTATGAACAAGAGAGAAAAGTTTGTAAAGTTTGGAACACCAGCTCTCTTTTTTTTTTTTTTTTAACTTGCCCCTCAGGGCTCCCGTAGTCCTGAGATGAGTACTCGTTCGGTGAAAATGCAACTTTTGGATCTTTAATCATGATCAATACTTGTTCTGTTTCTCTGTGTTTTTGCAATACAGCAGCTTTTGTTGTTATTGTTGCAAACCTCTCCGTTATTGCATGATGTCTAATATTATGATGACTCTCTTGTCTTGCCAGTGATTGGTCGATGAGCCGTGTGCAGTACCCCTCCCCTCAAAACTGGCGGCCACAGCTCAACCAATCAGCAACAGCGCTGGTCCCTCCAAGAATCATGGGCCGCTCGCCTCGGCCCATCAGCACCTTACAGGAGGTGACCTCAGAAGACGAGGACCGAGACAGGCATCACGAAGCGCCAAGGGCTGCGACACCTCACTTCCTGTCGCCCCAGCCGGCCCCTCGGCAGCGTTCCTTTTCCTGCACCCAGCATGCATTGCAGCGTCGCTCCAGTGCCCCGCAGCCTGAGCCCAACTATGTTATCGTAACAGACAACTCAGCCCATGAGCCCGTGGAAAGAGTGGTTGTTTCTCCTCCCACAGATATGGCTGCTCAGTCAGATCGCCTGCCGGTCGTAAACGGTGATCACTCGAGTAGAGCAGCGCTGAGTTTTTCAAATTCAGAGCAGAAATCGAGAGGTGAGAGGCCGAACAACACCGACTCCACACAAACAGCCCTTTAGAGAGAAGACAAACCCCTTTAAGCATGAAAGAACAGCATCATGAACATGTGAGGAAAATAATGGCTCACAATGAAGCTCTATTAACTGAGAGGCGCTGAGCTTCAGGTTTTGACATCAGGTTTATTTTTAACTGCAGTAAAGCTCCAAAGATAATGGCTTACAAGAAGGCCCAAAGCTCTCGTTTTGAGATTTCCAACGTGTGTTTGTTGGAAGACTTCTGACTCCTCTTATTCCATTTTTTTTTTTTGGTTAAAATGCTTCCAATATGAAACATGTCAGCACTCGGAGATGTTCCTCCCCAACTCTCCTCCCCAGTTTTTTTCTCAGCCTTGCTTAAATTATTTCTAATATCATTGTATATATTTTTTACTATAGAAGAGAATATTGTTCCATCTGAAAATGGATACCAATCAAACACGATGAATGTAACACTTACTCAGAAAATGTAACGTCTTTTGAGTGTTGCCAAATACTGTAATATATTCACACTGCCTCGACTTCGAACAGATTGTTTTCTGATTAAAGAGGAAACAATCAGGAATTCATGTAAAATACAATTTAAAAAAAAACATGTGCATGTGGTTGCACAAAGAGGTCAGACTCCTGCTGGTAGATGCAATAAAGTGACTTTTCATGCAAATCATTTGGACTTTTAATTTTGTTCCACTTTCCAACAAGTCATGTGTGCACAAAACTTTGGCTTTGGCTTTGACTGACCTCTTCCTGACATTATAGGTGTTTGTTTTGGTGAGCTTGTATCCCAGAAATCCAAAAGCAAAAATAACAGATTCAAGATGATGTCACTCTGAATGTGAGTGCAAAGGTGTGAAGAATCTTTTGCAGGGTGGCTTCGTTTAAGAAGGGGTGAATATTGAATATACAAGACACATATACTGTATATATAATAATAAAATAGAAAGAAAATCAGTAATAAAAACAAGAATGAAAAAGAAATGAAGACGTTGAGAAGATGTACAAACATTAGACAATATGAATATATATATATGCAGTAGCATGAATAAGTTGTGTTATAAAATGTGCTGTCTAAACTCTTTTCAGCTCTCACAATAAAACAACCATATCCGTTTTGTATCCACATTATATGACATTTATTTTACACACGGCTGGCACTGTTTGATGTGAGCTTTGAAAGCGCAGGGCTGGCGCGTGCCTGGGACACACGTGTCACTGAAGATCAAAAGGCTTTCCGGATTCACACACCAAACTTCTTTTGATATGGAGAAAAAAAAAGAAGGTTTGAACTCGTTCTCGTGGGAAAGAGGGAAATGGCGCCACGTTTTACAGCTTTATGACCTGTTAAAACTGATACATCATTGGAGAGAGATGGCGGCATGGAGAGCAGACACTTCCTTCGTTCCCACGCACGCTCGCCGACGACTGAGGTGCAAATGACTTAAAGGCTTGCATTAACTTTATTGCTGGATGAAAACTCTTTAAACAGCACAGCGTCCAGCGAAAGAACGGGGTTAACTTTAACTTACGCACAAGTACCTCGTTCTTAATGCAATCAACAGTGATTGTAGTGATGACTCGTGAAATATTAATATTCTCAATTTAATCTCCGTTTAGATGAGAATACAATTTTTAACTCTGTTTCTATGCTGAGGCAGGAAATTGTGACATTACGCACGGGAATGGCACATTTTACGCACGACTTCTGTTCCTTTTACTGAATCTGTTTAAAAAAGTTAGAAGTGTTAATAAGTTTTTCGGTTCATGATTAAGTTTAATTCTTACATAAATATTTTTTGAAATGTTGAACCGACTTTTTACCAAACAAATAAAACTATCCATACTAAAAAACAAAATGCTAATTATGAATACATCTTAGTTATTTTCTTAATGTGTTTGCCACTTCAGTGTATGTTATAGTTTCTCATATCAAGGATCACGGTTGTACAAAAGTGTGAAACTGTGAAACGTCACCGCATGGGTTCTCTCGTCTTCACGTGCGTGGCAGCACACGCTCCCAAGGCACGTGCCATGCAAATAATCAATGCACATTTACGCGCTGTAAAGGGATTTTTCATTTGTGTTTATTTACAAAAGACAAATATAATAAATTAAGGTGCAAAAATACATCATAAATGAAACAATTAACATGAGTTGGTCTGTAATGGTCGTATAGCAGCACGTGGTGTGATCATAATAAATGTTCAACATCTACAAATATATCACATTTTACAGAAAGCAGGAGGTCCGTCCTCAACACATTGCACTGGAAATACCATCTTAGAAAGTCAAATGTACAACAGAGGCTGTTGTGTGAATTCTATTCAAGATGTTAAAGTCATTTTAAGTTCATTTTGTGAAATCACTGCGCTGTTTTCAGGGCCAGGGTCTCCACAGAGTCTGACCAACAGGCAGGCTCTGAGGCAGGCTCTGTGTGCTCAGTGGACTCGATACTTTGTGGGGCTGTTGGTGGGTTGATGGAGAGCGGAGTGATTGTTCACAGGTCTTAACGCAACTGGCCCCCCTATGGACAGACGTGCAGATTCTATACCCGGACCTGTCGATGAGTGAGCGAAGAATTGACCTGGACGACTTCCCGAGAAGCTGCGAGCTGGTAGAGGAATGATCTTGAGTGTTTCTTAGGACGCATGCTGCAGAGTCAGAGTCTGGACGAGAAAGGCGATCAGCAAAAGATGACTCCAGTGCTGCTCCAAGCAAAAGACTTTTCCCGTGGGGTCCCAGGAACTGAGCAGCTCTCTGCAGGCAGGTGGAGACCCCGTCTTGGAAGGAGTGTTTCCGGCCTCCCCCACCATCTTCTTCAGCTCTTGTCTGGTCGCCTTTGCCAGACTTCTGTAGGAAGAGGACTGTGTGCTCGAGGATCTCGGCTTTCTCAATTCTCCTTTGAGTCGCCTCCTACAACAAAAATAAAAAGTTGAGTTAATAAACAAATCCCGGGCAATACACATTCACTTTTTATCTTCACTGGTGAACAAACGGACTAAATGAGCACAGTGGTCTTTACCTGTCTCTGAAGCAAAAGGGTCTTAAGGCTCTCCAGGCTGTGGTTCATTCTCTCTCTTCGACGTCTCTCCACTTGAGGTTTTAGACTCTACGGGACAAAAACAATAAATGCCATTAATGAATGTTCAGGTGGGGAAAAGGTGAGATAATTACAATATAAATACATAAGAATGATCCATGAAAGCTTCAATACTACACGTACCTTTCTTGTGGCCTTTGCGTCCTCTGAATTCTGAAGCAATTTCATGATTGTATTCCAAGTATGTCCGGCGTTTGTAAAAGATGAGCTCGTCCCTCAGTTAAGACTGGATGTGGCTACATTTCGCCCGGTGATGGCTTTTAAAGCCGTAGGTGGGCGTGTCATTTGGCTCCACCCACCACAGGAATTCATTTTATTGCAGCTGTGATCCATGCTGAACCACTAAACACAAAATAATGTGTTCGTAATACAAACATTTGTGCAAATGTCTTTTATTTTTACTTTTACCATTTTGCATCTGAACTAATGAGACTTCTTTTCAACCTTCAGTATAAAGTTGAAGGTTTGGATATAAAAATAAAAAGCAGAAGGCTTAAGTTAAAACTTAAAAAGAAGTCGGAGATTAAAAACACGCATTTATTAAATTGCTGTCACAGCTTTCTCTTAATGGTGCACTTTTAGCACATTTTGTCAAGTATCTCAATCTGAATGCAGGGTGAACGACGCGCCAATGGATCCTTCACTAATCTGCGGCCACGTGCAGCTGCCCAGTTGAGTGTGAGGCACGCGCCTGCTGAAGGTGTTACCAGCTCGTGCGACCTTTATTAACATATGTGAAGGAAAACAACAAACATCCGCCAACCCAGCGTGAAGCCCAGACAAACGACTGTGGGTGACTTTACGCGCCTTCATTGTGGACAGCGTCACGAGACGTGTCCTCAGGCAGACTGCACGAGAAGTGGTGACTGGAAGCCGAGAAAATAAGATGAAGAGGGAAAAACATCTGAATAAACACGAATCCATTGACCCTCTGGCAATAGAGCTTCGCATAAATCCTAAATTGTGTGCAACAAGGGAGTCTAATAGTGCGCGTAAAATGTACTCTCTTCTTCTTAACTCTGTAACATGGTGTGTCTTAAGTTGTAGATGTGAGACAAAAACAAGTTGAAATACACACAGTTGTACTTCATTCATTCCATACGTGTGTCTTGATAATCAGTCCATCGGCAAAGTTAGTTTTAAAGAGGTCCGTGTGCCGTGCGTAAAATTACAAATACCTGTGAAATAAAAAGATCCCTGTGCCAAACGGCGACACCTTCCATGAAGACACTGAAGGCAGCAGCGCGTGGGAACTAGAGAGCAACGTCTTCCCCAAACACTCCTTTTATCATGTATCGATTCTAACAGGTAATAAAGTGGTAATAAAGCTCACAGCCGAATTTTCCCATGAGAAAATTTTGAAGGAGCCACTCGTGCAATTTGGCTCCTACACCTAGTAATAAATCGATTTGTTGTGTCTTTTTTTTACTTTGAATCATTAACCAAAAACTCCCATACACTGTCATCAAATACTCTGCATAACATTTTGTTAAATTAAACTGCAAATATAATAAGGTAAATGCAGTTTCATGTCATTTTACCTTTACGCGTAAAGTTGAGCCTTTTACGCACCGATGTCGACTGAATATGTTGTGTTTTTGTGAATCAATGCATTTTTTGACTCGTCACACCTTGCAAAGTGTATTCGTTACGTGTGCCTGTGGGAACCCGAAGTTCACCTTTCCTCCAAGCACACTTTGTCAATGAAGTATCTGTTTTAACAGGTAACAAAAGAGAATGACGCCTCCTGCTCCACGTTCCCATGATGAGAACGAGCTGAGGGGTTTCTCCCACTGTCACACGTATAGGCAACATTTGTCTGCAGCCAGGTTGTGGTGTCAGACGGCAAATGTGCATGAACTCAAAAACAATCCCTTTGGATATGTATTGTCATTTCGTTTTAAGAACACGTCACCATTTGCCTCGTTATTAAATCTCATTACGCAAAGAGCTTATGTAACCCTTCCTCTGCAGAGGAGAGAACAATCCCAAACTTTAGTAAATATAACCTACAAGTTCCTGCATGTAAATCTCACTCAGTGTCAGTGTCAGTGTCAAAGCTTGAAGTACAGCAGCTAAAAGCCCCTGTATCTGCTCTAATTAAGGATTTGTATTTTAACCTCTGATTTAGGCCTATAAGCTTTTAAAATATATTTGTGTGTGCAGAATCTTGGATCCTTTGACTTGTTGGAGCCTCAAAGTGATTATTGGAGGATTGATATATTTCAAAGATGTCCAAACCCAAATAATCGAGACCAACCCCCATTGAAAGGTAAAACCTGAAAATGTACTTTAAATGACAAACTTGTGAGTTTTCTTACGAAGCCAATTGAATCCTCTGAAACAGTGAACGAGTCAAGTATCGATGTGTCTGAGGGAGCTCAATCAAAGATCAACTTTGAGATATTATCAGCTGTTTTGGGATTATTTACTGTAACCCAGTGGTAGTTAATATGTGTTGTTGCGGGTTGTTACCTGACCACAAAACTCACGTGGACACGTGGAGCATGCAGTCCAAGCAGCACGCGACCACTTCACACCTAATCAGACACGCGCCAGCCGGAAAAGGCTTCACAATTGACCTCTTCAGTGCAAACGCAGATTTAAAGTTAATATCTTGTACTGTAGATACGTTTTACTCGTCATTTATTTTTTTAGTTAGAAATCGTTTATAAGTCGTTATGTGTGTTAAATCTGTGCGCGTGTTTGATTACTTCTAGCTAATGTGTAGTTGTGTAACCCAACATAATAGGCTATACTTTTGGCACGTGCCGATATGAGTTTATTGGGAAGATATTTGAAGAATTAAAAAAGTTGATTTGATAAGATAAATATCAAACACTAAAAGGGTAATGCAGATGTCTAATCCATCTTTCTGAGTCTGGGCTCTTCACTAAATTAGACACTCAGTCCTAATGAGCTCAACAAACACGTGTTAAATAGTTTTAATGAAGGAGCACGGCCTGGCCTTTAATTTGCATTAGAGTGACCATGTGTGTTTGTAAAGTGTG